TTAGAATAACTATGTAGATTTTTTCAGTCCACACAATTCTCTAATCTTGTTCCTTAGCCCAGAAAGGTAATTATCTTCAATCTGTTATCTTTAATGTGTCAACTATTTCCATTTGTCCATGCATAATAGCTTAAAGTGCCACATATCATATGACAAGTTATTTTAAATTATTTTCTTCTTATGGTTCATGTGAAGGCAATCAAAAAATTAAGATCGCTGATGACTCACTCTCAACAATTGCTGGGAAAGGATCAATTATCATCTCTAATACTTTTGTTCCTCATGATGTTCTTCACGTTTCAAATTTTTCTTGAAATCTTTTATCTGTTACTAAAATAACTAGGGACTTAAAGTGTTGTGCTAAATTTTTTTCAAACTGTTATGAATTTCAGGATCTGGATACAAGGATGATGATTGACACTACTAGGGAACATGGAGATCTTTATTACTTTGATGATGGAAACTCTTTGTGTTAGTAACAAAAATCCTCAAGTCTTGAAGCATACTTTAATTCTACTATTGATGAAATAATGGTATGACATCATAAGTTAAATCACCATAGTTTTCAATATTTAAAATATTTGTTCCCAAACTTGTTCCATAATAAAGATTTATCATCATTTCAATATGACATTTGTCAATTAGCTAAACACCATCGTACCTCCTTTCCTCTTCAACCATATAAACCTTCTATGCCTTTTTCTCTTATTCCTAATTATGTGTGGGGACCTTTATAACATTTATAAAAATGATTTATAACATTTATTGATCATCTAAATTGGGTCTATCTAGTTAAAGAAAAATTTGAAGCAAAACATATTTTCAAAAATTTTTATAATATGGTTGATACCCACTTAATTGTAAATAAAAATTCAAGTGTTTCGGAATGAAAATGGAAATGAATATTTTAATAAAATGTTAGGGTCATTTTTACTAGAAAAAAGAACTATCCATCACAGCTCTTGCAATGACACTCTTCAACAAAATATGATAGAAGAAAGAAAAAATAAGCACCTTCTAAAAGTAGGCAGGTCTTTCATGTTTACCACTAATGTACTAAAATACTTATGGGGGGGAAGTAATTCTTACTGCTACATATCTGATCAACAGGATGCCATCTAGAGTTTTGAAGTTTTAGACACCTCTAACAGTTTTCAAAAAATCATTTCCAATGTCTTGACTAACCTCAGATTTATCGTTAAGGGTCTTTGGATGTGTTGCATTCGTTCATTTACATAATCATAATAGAGAAAAGTTAGATCCATAAGTAATAAAATATATTTTTGTAGGATATTCTCCCACACAAAAAGAGTATAAATGTTTTGGTCCTACAAGAAAAAAATATTTTATCACAATAGATGTTACTAAATCCCAAAACTTTTTTAGTCCTCCTCTTCAAAGGGAAGAAGGAAATAAAGACTCGATATTTGAAAAAAAAATATTGAAAAAACTTCTGATAGTTCCACAAATAATGAAATTGCAATCTTTAATCTTGGTATTCTAGATAAGGAAAACAAGAGGTCAACATTAGTACCTGAACACAAAAAAAAGACTATGAAAATAGATTATGCATGCTTCAATGATGAGAGGTTATTCGAAAAATCTTACATTAAGAGAAACCCGATTCAAGGTAAGAAAGATGTAGCTACTTCTCCTCAAAGCCAAGAATCAAGATTTGAATAATCAGGTACAATCTCTAAATCTGTAGAATTTGAGTTTTTTCCATTCAACAAGTGCATTTTGACCCTCTAGATCTCCCTATTACTCTTAAGAAAGGAACCCAATCATGTACTCACACCCTTTATCAAATTTTTTATCTTATAAGAATATATCATCTTCTTACTATACTTTTGTCTCACAATTGTCAAGTGTGGATATATCTAAATTTATACAGGAAGCACTAAAGTTTCCTGAATTGAAGAAAACTGTCCTTGAAGAAATGGAGGCTCTAGAGAAGAATGGTATGTAGGAGATGACTGGTTTTTCTAAAGGAAAATTGATTGTTGGGTGCAAGTGGATTTTTACTGTAAAGTTCAACTCAGATGGATCCTTGGAACATTATAAAGTAAGGTTGGTAGTAAAAAGATTTATGCAAACATATGGAGTTGACTATCAGGAGACGTTTTCCCTTGTTATGAAATTGAATACAATTCGAGTGTTATTCTCTGTACTTGTGAATTTAGAGTGGTCATTGTTTCAATTGGATATTAAAAATGCATTCCTCCATGGAGAGGTAGAACAGGAAGTTTATATGGATGCATTGTCTGCCTTTAAAGAGAAGTTTAAAGGGAAAGTCTGTAAACTGAAAAACTCATTATATGCACTAAAGCAGTCTATTCGAGCTTGGTTTGAGAGATTTACCAAATTTGTTAAAAAAGAAGGGTATAGTTAAGGACAATATGACCATACAATATTTATTAAACACACTGGTGATGAAAGGATGGTTGTCTTGATTGTATACGTAGATGATATAATATTTACTGGGAATGATAATGATGAGATCTGTAGGTTGACAAAACATCTTGTCTCAAAATTTGAAATTAAGGATTTAGGGCCTGTATGTTACTTTCTAAGGTCAAAGATGGGAATTTCTGTGTCATAAAGAAAGTATGTTCTTGACTTATTAGAGGTGACGGGCATGAGCAATTGCAAACCAAGTGATACACTCATGGATCCTAATCGAAAGTTGAGAGATGCTCCTAAAGGAGTTTTAATTGATAAAGATAAATATTAACGTCTTGTAGGAAAACTCATTTATTTGTCTCATATAAGACCTGATATCGTCTTTGCAGTTAGTGTCATGAGTTAGTATATGCACTCACCTTATGAGGAAAATCTTGAAGCTATATACAAGATTCTCAAGTATTTAAAAAGTACACCAAGAAGGGAGTTGTTGTTCAAGAAAAGTAATAAAAGGAGTATAAAAGTCTTTACATATGCAGACTGTGCAGGCTCAGTTTCAGCTAGACGATCAACCTCTGGGTATTGTACGTTCTTATCAAAAAATCTAGTTACCTGACAAAGTAAGAAGCAAAGTGTGGTTGCTAAAAGCATTATAGAAGCTGAGTATAGAGCTATCGCAAATGGAGTTTGTAAGGTATTATGGATTAAAAAAGTACTTGAAGAACTAAGATTAGATGCAGAAGCACCTATGAGACTATTTTGTGATAACAAATCAGTTATAAGCATTGTGCACAACCCAGTTCAACATGATCGTATGAAACACATTGAAATTGATAGACATTTTATTAAAGAAAATGTGGAGAATGGAGTTATTTGTATGCCATTTGTGACTTCTGAGCAACAAACAGCTGATGTTTTTACCAAGAGGCATTTCATATCAAAGTTTGAATCTTTCATTGACAAGTTGGACATAATCAATATCTATGCACCAACTTAAGAGGGGGATGTAGAAATATATGGAAAGAATCAGAAGTTGACTGTATATTTCTAAATTTATTACTGCATATTTTTAGCAGTTATTACTGCATATTCTTAATATTTATTGTTGTAATTTTTAAGGAGTTATTGCTATTGATTGTGTAGTCATTTACTCCTAAAATTAAGAAGAGAAATAGGAATGTAAAACTCTATGAATTGAACTTTTTGTACCAACTAATAATAATAGAAAATAAAGAAGAAAACATTTTCTTTTTCCTATATGCATTCACATTTTATTCTTATTATGCATAAAACTAACAAAAATTAAATGTAATTGAAGCAAACACAATGTAACTAATAATAAATTCCAACTTGCACAATTATAAGAAATATAAAAAGTTAGTAAAAATATAAAATATAAATGAACATCTAAATTTGAAAGAAATATAGTTCCTAATCTACATAAAAATCTATAATCAAACCTCATGAACATTAGATTTTGTAGCCAAACACCTTAACGACATTAAATTCTTTTCATCAAAACATTAAACATAGAAGTCATGGTCAACATACAAGTGGACATATAGGCTAAGAATACCAGAAGAATAACTTGCATTTTGGAATGTAATAGAAGAGATAGAGACAGGAAAGAAATGATAGTTATGAATCCTATGAGGATGATGATTTAGTTATTAGTGAACAAGTAAATACGCTCTTTTGTTCTCTGTCTGTAGTAAGGTGTATACTTGCATACCATAAAGTGGAGAAGGAAAAAGAACATCATATGTTCCTATCAAAGATCTTTCCTAAAAGACATCTCTATGGAAGCTCTATGCAAGGAGAAACTTAAAATATCACTTGGTCAATATGTTCATTTCATTCTACCAACAAAATTATATACTCCTAAACAATTGTATTTCAATTATTTTTCATATTAAAAAGAATGAAATAGCAAAACTATGCTAAATTTATAGGATAATTCAAATATCTGAGTTTTACATCATTCATTAGTTTAAAACTTAAGACTGAGCTTTTTTCAATGAAGAGAAAATGATGCGGAATAGGTCAAATCTAGATTGCTAAGTAGATTAAAAATTATGTCATCTTAAATATAAAACTATTGCATTATTTAGGAGCTTATAATTATAATTTCGTAACTTTAAATTTTTAATCTTTTTAGTAATTAGTTTTCCTATTTGTTATAGTAATATTATTTTTTAATCTTATTAATATTAGTATTTCTTAATGTAATCTTATTGAAGAAGTACTACTTAAGAAATATTATGAAAATCTCCCTAATCTCACTTTTCAGACATACTTATGCTATTTAATAAAATACTTTTCAATTTCTCAATTTTTCACTTCTGTAATGCTATTAAACCATGAAGTGTGATCCTTAACACATTTTAGATGTGATAACTAGAATAGATAGTAGGAATAATATCTACATTTTCATCCTCAAATCTCTAAAGAAGCAAATTAATCCTAATTTGTCCTCCATCACCAAAATTCTAAGCTTACAATCATACTACACAAATTATATATGATACGGTTGCCCTGTTATAAAGAAATGATAAATCATGACAATACTATGCATATTGAGACTTAGATCTCCTTACATCCCAAAATGATGTAGTATCCATCTTCATCCACTCGACCAGCATCTCCAGTCTTGAAGAACCCATCACGAGTAAATGATTCCTTAGTTACTTCAGGAAGTCTGTAGTATTCCCTAAATAGTGATGGGCTTCTAACATAGAGCTCACCCACCCCACTTTTATCAGCTTCTCTCTCATCTTCTACAATCTTGACCTACAAAAGGGAAATGTAGAAGCGTTATCAAAAGAAAATTCTGCAAAGAATGGGGATCATTAGGACGTTAAAAAAAGTTAGAATATTATAAAGCTGGTAAGATCAATAATATAATAAATCTAAACAAAAAACTTTCCATAGATTATCATAAATAGTATGTTTTAACAAGGAAAGATGAAGATGAACTATTATCAGTCTGCATAGGCATAGACTTTCTTATGACCTTCATAACATTACATTTAATGCTAGTTAATGTTGGATCTACAATTTGGCATATGTTACTAACCTCCACTCCGGGGAATGGTTTGCCAACAATGTCTGCCTTTCGTGCACCTCTTATGCGATTTGATATTGCATTGATGAACTAAGGACATGAATTTAATACCATTACTATACGAAATTTTAAAAAGTAGATAACAGCAAAATCTGAATGCACTTCTTTGTTGAGCAAATAGAAAGCTTAGGAAGGAACTTAAAATCAAGAGCTCATACCTCTGTCATGCCATACCATTCCAAAAGCCTATGTCCTGTGATAGTTTCCCACTATTGCATAACAGGCTAAGGAACTGCAAATGAGCCACACATCTAGGAAAAAAGATAAAGTCTTTCCCTTTCTTTTAGGAATTAGATTTGACATTGAAATAAGGAAATTAAGAACAACATTTACAGGACAAACAACACAGTTCTACACATAATTAAGATTCCCAGTTTGGTGGAAAAAGGCATGCACTTGAGGTCCTACAATACACTGACCATAAGGTGCAACTGTTTTGCAGCAAAGGCAGAAGCAAACTGCAGCTCCATATCCATTGATTCATAACCTTCTAATAGTCGGGTATACATAGGAGGAACCTACATATTACGGAAGCATTAGGCCAGCTGTGAACATCTATGGTGAAAATTGTCCTACAAGGGCATAACATTATTGTAATTTGGATTAAATAAACCCAAATAACAAGGAAAAACTAAAGTTCAAGAGAATTCAAAATTAAAATATGATTTATCCTTATATATCTAAAGATTACATAAGGACTCTACAAGCCACCAGAATTGATGGCCCCTAAGAAAAAAATTAAAAAATCAGAGGTAAGATGAAAAAACATCTTCCTATATTATTTGTGAAAATAAGATGAAAAGAAAAATTTTAAAGGTGTAAAATATGATGATTGTGTTTGGAACAAATAAACTCTTTCATAAAATTCATTATTAGTTCAATTATGGATGAAAATCTAACTCTAAATAAATTCTAACTGCAACCTACCTTGTCAACAGAATGCAATCTCGGTCCTCGAATTTCAAACACCCCTATTAAGTTGCACTCCAATATTTTCCTACCACTTGAGTTCTATATATTTTACCTCTCAAAATCTTTGATTGTTCAGCTTTTATTCACGCACACAACCATCATAGAAGCAAACTAGACCTAAAATCAATAAAATGCATTTTTATTGGGTATTCATCAAACCAAAAGGGTATAAGTGTTATTCACTAGTCACGCAGAAGTTCTACAACTCTATGAATGTTACATTTTATGAAAACCAACCACATTATAAAATTGGTATTTAGGGGGCGAAAAATAAACAAGAACTCCAATAATGGGATTCTAGCACTGAATATTCTAATCCTCCTCTAACTAAATTTTTTTAGTTTTCAAAATACATATATCGAGATGGGACACTTGGACCTAAACTTACTCATCATACTGAAAAACCTGAACTTCGAGTTTACACCACAAGGAACAAAAACCACTTGATTAGAGTCATGAATCCAATCCAAATCTACACCCGACATCACTTAATACTTCAGGTAATACATGTTCAAATCTCTCCCTTGATAATGTGTAAGATGATAGACTTATTACTTTAAGAGAACAAAAAAGAAATGCACTGATTGTCCAATTCACAATTTTGTTTCATACAAAGGACTGTCATTAACTCACTAAGTATTTTTTAGCAATATTGATAAAATATAGATACCAATGATAATATATGAGGTATTAAAAGTTAACAAATGGAAAATTGCAATCATGGAGGAAATTTAATCCTTAAAAAAGAATGAAACTTGGTAAATAACATAATTACCACCTGAAAAACACCCAATCAGCTATAAATAGGTGTTCACAATCAAGCATAATGCTAATGAAAATATCAATAGGTTTAAAGATCAATTAATAGCCGAATGTTTTACTCAATTTTATTGAATTGGTTATTAGGAGATATTTTCACCACTAACAAAGCTTAACATATTCGGATACTAATGTTCCTAACTGCCAATGTGGATTGGTCACTATTCTAACTAAATGTGAAAAGTATTTTTCTTAAAAAGAACAAGAGAAAGAACTCTAGCAAGAGATACTACCAGATTATGAAAGTCAAGTGACTACCAGAAAAGTTTGCGGACTCAAAAAGTTCCTATATGAACCCAAACAATCTCCAAGAGTATGGTTCAATAAATTCACTAATCAAGAGATTTGGATATAATCAATACCAAACATATCATACTATATTTGTCAAGCATGATCTTTTAGGAAAAATGACAATTCTCATTGTATATGTAGATGAAATAATAATTATAAGAGATAACACAAAGGAAACATTTACACTAAAAAGATCTTACCTAAAGAATTTTTTATTAAGAACCTAAGAAATCTCACATATTTCTTTACAATGGAAATTGCTAAGTCAAGGAAAGAAATCTCAGTTTCTTAACGAGAATATGTATTGGATATTCTAAAAGAGACTGAAATGCTTGGATGCAAGCCTACAAACACACCCATAGATCCCAATATTAAACTGTAAAGTAAAATTGATAGTGTTTTAGTTGACAAAAAAAGGCATCAACATCTAGTGGATAAATTGATTTATCTCTCACATATTAGACCAAATATTTGTCGTCAATAACCCAACTGAAGAATTTATGGAACCAATATTTTCTCAATTACCTAAAAAAGACAACTACACAAGAAATATTTTTCAAGAAAAACAGAAGTCAATAAATTAAAAAATATATGATAAAAAATCCACCTCTGGAGACTATACATGTGTCTTGAAAAATCTAATTACTTGGAGAAGTAAAAAACAGTCAGTAGTATCAAAGAGTTATGATGAGACTGATTTTAGAGCTTTAGCACATGGTATCTGTAAAGTAATGTGTTATAAAAGATACTGGGTGAATTGAGAATTCTCTCTTCAAAGTCTATAAAAGTGTTATGTTACAATTTATTCACAATAAACATAGAAAGAACCCAGCTCATCAATTGAATTAAGCATATGAAGATTGATAGATATTTTGTTAAAGAGAAAATAGAGCCAAGAGCACTATCCTTATGACATATTCAATCTTGTCATCAAACCGTTAATATTTTCATCAAGGCATTACCTAGAAAGATTTTTGAAGAATTGAATTCTAAGATTGGTTTGCTCAATCTTTTCAAATCAACTTGAGGTGAAGTGCAGGAATCTTATCCCATAAAATCCAATTCCTAAAAAGATTGGTATATTTAAGGATATCTCTTTATAAAGTACAATCATAGTGAACTTTCATAATTAGAAAATTTTTTACTTTTATGGAACTGATTTATATTTAGTTTTCTACTAAAGTTTTCTATAATTTTATCTTATAATATTCAGATGTTGTAAATTAGTGCCATGAATAAAAATTTAGTAAATAGAAAATTTAGTTACAAACTTTCAGTTTATTAGTCAACTATTTAGTAAAGTTTCATGAGCTTCATGCTAAAACTATACTTACTCCTGCAAACACAGTTATAGCATCATTAGTCTTCCTCCCATTTACTGGATATGATTCACGCCATCTCTGCCAGATTCCCCTCTCACTGAATTTTGGCATAAACTCGACCTTCAAAATATGACAGCAACTGTTACGCCTAAATTTTCAAGAGCAATTCCATTACATGTTTCCAATAAAAGTCTTGCCGACTAAAATATCATATCAGATTTAAAAGAAAGAAAGAAAATTGAAGTCCAAGAGAAACCTAATTAGAGTACTTACTATTAAACCAACATAAATAGGAGCAAACAAAGCATTGAAAAGCCCATGAACATTTATATGTAAATTAAGGACAAGTAAGTCATAAACTTTCCAAGTCAAGTATATTCATAGAAATAACATTTATAATAAATGAGTACAATCTATAATAGCATGATGAACAATTACTATAACAATCTAGGTGATAGAGTTTGATGGATATGATGTAAGGGTAGGCAGTGCAGAAATTGATCGTTTAATGTATATTCCCATGCTTCTGCCAACATTTTTACCTGCATCTGAGCCAAAGTCCTAGGAAATATTAACAAAAATATCGAACATTACGAATTGCATAAAAAGAGAAAACGGATGCAGAACAAAAAGATACCAAAGTAAGTATGTTTTAGTAATAAGAGACATTTATACTATTATAATATTTATATATTATTGAGGTATTTGGCTTATTTAAAAATTATTAGCTATAAATTTATTATTAGTATGAGTCTATTATTTACTTATTTTTTATTTCAAACTATTCAATTACTTTGCTATTTTCTATTAGTAAAATTCCTATATAGAAAGAGTTTTTACCTTGATTTGTATTTTGACACGTATAAATAGAGCATAGTAATTTAGTTATTAGGTACATTATTCTTATAATTACTATCTAAAACTAAGGTTTCCAATTGAATTTCTCACCAAAAAATTGAAGATTGAGGACCCAAAATCGATGCATCTCGATCAATGTTCACGGATTTTGGGATTCTGAAGCCTTTTGCTGACAAATTCAATTGGTTTGACCCAATTCAATTCCACATGCCCAGTTCAACCACCTTCAAACCACTTCCTAACATTTCCAAACTGGTTCTTAAGGTTATTAGGTGAGCTATTTCACTTTTTGAAGTTAGTTTGGTCAAATTCACATTTTGGAAGTTTGATAATTTAAACAAGTGAATTAATGTTTAGTCATGCATTCTGCAAAAGTTGTTTGATTTAGGATGTTAAGATTTCCAATTGGGCTGTTGGAAGAGAAAACAAATGTAATGCTAGTAGTGTTATGGCATCATGCAGTAAACGACTTGAATGGTGGATTACGAACATTAATTATATGTTTAGTCTACCTCCTAATTCAAATAGTGAACTTATTCATCTTTTGAACCGAAAATAAGTATTTTTTTGTAAAAAGTATATCAAGAACCATTTAAGATAATAAGAAATGAAAATTTTCAATTATCAAGAGCCTTGGTAGGGGATCAACTTCTCAAGCACTCAAATGACCATATGAAACTTGAAGTTTCTTATTATTATGTGAGCTAATTGGAATAAATGCACTAGGTATTACTTATGATGATATGGAGACGAAAGATTTTTGAGCTAATCGTTTCTATATTTAAAATATTACGTGAATAGACAAGACAATCACATGTTAAAGAGATTTTATTCTTAAAATAGTTAAAAGAATTAGGCTATATCTAGTAATGTTGAATCTTGATTGTGAAGAATTAATTGTGAAAATGTTCAAGCACTTCATGAAGTCTATCCAACCTCAATGGGACAGTTGTCTCTCTTATAGGTAAGCGATTATAATCAATTTTTGCATAAAGTGATTATATATTAGTAAAGTTATCCAACCTCAATGGAGAATTGTCTTTGTTCAGAATCCCTTGTGGATTAGGTGTGAGATTAGAGGGCTATATACGAAGGTATTTATGGGCTGCTGTAGGAGAGGAAATAAAAGACTATCTTGTGAGATGGGAGTTTTGTTGTCAATTTAAGAGTCGAAAAGGTTTTGATATTAGGTATCAGAGATCAAAGGACATATCTCTACTGGCAAAATGGTTTTACCATTTACTACGTGAACAGAATTCTTTGTGACATGAGGTGGTTGGAAGCATCTACAGAAGAAGGAAGGATAATGATGCGAAACCCAATATCAACATGTAATCCAAAACTCACACAATAATAATTAGCACCGGTAGATTGTTGGAGAAAAAATATTCTATTTTATTTTTGATACAATCTATGTTGTTATTGTAGAAATTTGGGTAAAAATATTTTCTTTATTTTTCCACTCCTTGTGTTACAGATGATGCATATATATATACAAATTTCCTAAGTGCAATTAGGAAAATTACCTTTAAAGTAGAGATTCTAAATAATTACAACATTAATAGAGAAATTAACTATATAGGAAAATATCACAATTATTTAGGAAACCAAATATTCATGTCAACACTCCCCCTCAAGTTGGTGCAAAGATATTACACATGTCAAACTTGCATACCAAGTTCTGAAGAGTTTTGTTGCAAAGTCTTTTGTGAATATATCTGTCACCTGATTGATAGAAGACACATAATGCAAGCATAAGAAACCATCAACTACTTTCTCTTTTATGAAGTAACGGTCAATCTCAATGTTTTTTGTCCGATCATGTTAAACTAGATTTTGGATAATATTAACGGCTGCTTTATTGTCACAAAACAATGATAGACTTCTTTTAAATAGTTTTAATTCCTTCATTAGTTTTTATAACCATAATAATTTAATACCTCTTGAGCCATTACTCTATATTCTGCTTCAACACTAAAACGGGTACTACATTCTGTTTCTTACTTTTCCATGTAACCAAGTTACCGGCAACGGTTGTGCAATAACCGGTAGTTGACCTTCTATTATCGGGAGATTCAGTCCAATCAGCATCTGTAAATTCTTTTATCTTAAGGTGGTCATTTCTAGAGAAGAGTAAACATTTTTCAGGTGTAGATTTAAGATAGCATAATATTTGAAAGATTGCATGTAAATGAGTCTCATGAAAATTATACATGCAAATGAGTCTCATGATAATTATTCATGTACTGACTCACTAGGCTAACTACATATGCTATATATGATTTGGTATGTGAAAAGTAAATGAATCTTCTAACCAATCTCTGATATCTTTCCATGTCAACTGATATATCACTACCAGTTTGTAGTTTATGATTACTTTCAAAAGGGGATTATATTGGCTTGCAACCCATCATACCATTTTCTTCTAGCAAATATAATATATACTTCCTCTGATAAATGAAGATTCCTTTATTAGACCTGACAACCTCAATTTCCAAGAAATACTACAATTTTTTAATATCTTTAATTTTAAATTCTCGAACAAGAAATTTTTTTAGTCGAGTTATCTCCTTTGTATCACCTCTAGTGACCATAATATTATCAACAAAAATAATGAGAATAGTGATCCTACCCTCACAATGCTTGATGAATAGGGTATGATCAGCATTGCTTTTCTTATATCTGAAAAAAATCATAATTTTTCTGAACCTTTCAAACAATACTCTTAGAGACTGCTTTAATCCGTACAAAGTCTTCTTCAATTTGCAAACCTTCTCTTGTATTCTTTCATCTTCAAATGCAAGTAGAATTTTCCTGTATACCTCTTCCTCTAAGTCTCTCTAGATGAATGTATTTTTTATATCAAACTGGTGTAAGTCCCAATCAAGATTAGCTACACATAATAGTAACATTCTGTGTATGAGAATATCCAACAAAAACACACCTAAAAACTCTAGGTCCCAATTTATTCACATTCCTAACATGAACAAAACAAACACATCCAAACACTTTTGGAGGAACAATATAACAATTTGTATTTTACAAAACTTCTAGAGGATTTCAAAAATCAAGAACCTGCAAAGGCACTTTATTAATGAGGTAGGTCGCTGAGAGAACGACATCACCCTAATAACTTTTAGATAGATTAATAGTGAACATTAGTAACCGAGCTACCTTCAATATATGTCTATTTTTTCTTTCAGCAATCTCATTCTATTCACTAGTGTAGGCACAACTTGTCTGGTGAATTATCATATTTGACTCCAAGTAAGTACGAAACTCACTATCCATATACTCAGTACCATTGTCAATTCTTAGAATCTTAACTTTAACATCAAACTGTGTACATATTATTTTATGAAATAATTGTAAGTATGAAAACACATGATTTTTCACCTTCAACAATGAAAATCATGTTACTCGAGTACAACAGTCAATAAAAGTAACAAACCAACGATGACCAAATAAAAAGATAGTCTTAGCGGGTCCCCACACATCAAGTAAATAATCATAAATAGAATAAAACTTCTGTTATTACTCAAATAATAAGAACTCCATTTATATTTAGCAAGTTCACATGCATCAGAAAATAAAGAATCCATGAAAGTTTTCTTAAACAAATTAGGATATAACTTTTCTAAAATAAAAAAGGAATGGTGTATCAACCGCCAGTGCCATTATAGTATTTTTATATTGACTTCTGTATTTTCAATAGTGGCTTGATTCCCAAAAACTTGTAACTTCTGTTCAAGACTTATAAGTCATTCTTAAATCTATCAGTGTTAATTCTATTTTCTATTCGAAGATCCTGAAATGTACAATAATTAAGGAAAAATTCAATTTTACAGTTTAGATATCTAGTAATGACACTAATAGATAAATACCTATTAGGAAAACTAGGTATATATAAAACTGAAAACAGTGTAATAGTCGAGGTACAATTAATGAAATATGTTCCAGACACAAGAGTGTATGACTCATCTACTATACGAGCATTTTCTCCTTTAAGACAAGAAAAATAGGTTAGAAATTCAGTGCAAGAATCTGTCATATGTCTGTTAATTCCAAAATTTATAATCCAAATATCATGAGTAGAATAAAGAGGGAGAGAAAAAGTACCTGATTTGATTATATTTGATATACCAATAGTTGTTGAAGAATTAACTTGAGACAGAATGCACATCAAACGGTGAAATTCTTCGATTGAAAAAGTTCCAATTATTTATGTATTAGGTGCTTCATTTCCTTTAGCCAAGTGTACTTGAGCTCTCATATATCTTCCTCTCTTTTCCCCACGACCTCTAGTGTGTTGTTCATGCAATTTTAAACAAGTCTCTTTAGTGTGTCTCATCTTGCCACAATAGTCACAATTCCGTAGATCTTTGGAATGATAAGACTGAGCAATTAACCCACTTTTCTCAACTAGTACTATGTGAAGCATGATAATTCTTCTACTTTTTTCTTAGTGAACATAAGAACAAGTTTGTTCTAATAAGGGAAGGGGATCCTTACCAAGTATTTAGATCCATCTAATCATATTCGACATTCAGGCCAGCAAAACATCATAAATTTACTCATTTTCTATCATTTTTTGAAATTTGACAGCATCTCTTAGAAAATCTGCCTAAATATTTTGATAGTAATCGAGCTCCTGTCATAATCTACTAAGTTCAGAAAAATACTAAGAGATAGTCAACTCTCCTTGTTTTGTGCTGTAAATTTTATTTTAGAGTTCATAAATTCGAACATCATTACCAACGTATGAGTATGTAAGAGACACTACATTCCATATTTTTGCGGCAGTATTAAGCAGCAGATAAGTTCAGGCAATATGAGATTGCATGGAATTAATGAGTCAGGACATTAGTAATGAGCTTTCAAAGTCTCATTTTTGATATTCCAAACCACTACATCTGGTTTCTTTTCATCGTCAGTAATATAACCTTACAATCTTCTAACTTTGATAAACAATAAACAGGATCACGACCAAGGTAGATAATTAATTGTATAAAACTTTATGAGATTTATTTGCAGTGACGGGTTGTCAAAATTAGGGACCAGTAGTTTCTTTACATCTGTCATGTCTGAATACTAGACAAGAAAATAACAATAGAAAGAAATGAACTTCACAGGGATAGGACAAGCTTTTAAAGTAGCACAGAAGCCACAAATCAAGAAAACAACACCACGAATCGAAGAGGAAGAGAAGCAATTCCGCAAATCAGCAGTTGTGAAACTGAACAGATCGCGACCACGCATGAATTCGCAAAAAAAGGAAGTTTTGTGCAACTGAACAGAAAAGAAAAAAGGAGCCCGCCGTGAAATCAGCAAACACCATGCAAATTTGGTTGTCTTATGCGACCTGAGGCAAAGCTGCTAGGTCGGTCGAGACCAAAGCTACAATCGAAAAGAGATGGTCCAACAAAGAGAGCCAGGCATGAATGAGAGAATCGAGTCGGGTCGGGTGTGCGATATGAAGAAATGCAAAGCAGCTGCTGCATAAAGAACCGGACGAGCAGCCATGCGCGACCGAGAGAGTCGTGCACGACCAGAGAGAGCCATTCGTGAAAGAAAGATACAAATTGAGTCGAGTCAGGCGCGTGCGAAAGAGAACTGTGAAGCAGCTACTATGTGTGATCGAATAAGCGAAGATGTTCACATAAGAAGGGCGGTTGGAGCAAGACGATCAGGTAGGACGGAGATGCTCACTGAAGAAGACCGGTCGGCCAGCAGTGAGTCTAAGATTCCATTTGGGTGGGTGTCTGAAAATATTCTAGGGTTTGAATGAAACCTTAAAAATGATTAAAAAAAATCCTAAAATACCTGATACCATGTAAAAAATTAGGTAAAATATTTTCTTTATTTTTTTACTTCTTGTGTTACAGACGACCCATATATATATACAAATTTCCTAAATATAAATAGGAAAATTACCTAGTAGAGATTCTAAATAATTATAACATTAATAAGGAAATTAATTATATAGGAAATTATCACAATTATTCAAGAAACCGAATATTCATGTCAACAATTACAACTGGAGTATATAGACATAATTTCTACCTACAGATAAGGAAATTGACTTTATAGTAGAGATTCTACTTAAGTCTAACTAATTACATAATTATGGGAGAGATTATGAAAAGGTTTATATAAGAAAAAATATCTCAACTAATTAAGCAACATAATATTTTATTCAACACTCTCCCTCAAATTGATATATGCCCAACTTACAAACCAAGTTATAAAGAGTGTTAAAACATTCAAGAATATTTCTTGTACATAATAGTATGATTATCTTTCTAAATATATAAGCATAATTAGGAAGAAAATTATTAGAGTAATTTACGTTGGTTACCATACATAAATCCGTCTACATGTATATCTATCTCTACTTTTATTTCAATAAAACATAAGTAAATATTCAATATTCATTTCTCTAATTTTTATATGGTATCAGAGTTGGTGTTAGGGTTAAGGCTTTAAGGATCAAATTACATCAAACAAAAAGAAAGACAACCACTGATCTTTGACTAGTTTAGAGTGCGGCTAGCATGGTGGTGTATGCGAGAGAAGCCAAGGAAGCGGTTTATGCGGCGTTTTAAGGCTGCATGCAACGAGATTGTAGAGAAGAGCAATCCCGTGCATGTTGGGTTCTCATTCGAGGATAGAAGAAATAAAGAAGCTCGGTCGGCCGGTTCTGTGCACAAAACCAGAAGACCGAATAGGGAAAAGGCATGACTGAGCAGATCGCACGATAGCAAGCAATTCTCCGCTCTCCAGCGCGATTTGGGGCATTTTTATGAGTGTCATTCTAGATTAGGGCTTGCATTGGAGTTCTACATTTATTTTCGGCTGAAAGAAGGTTGTTTGGTGGCTTCAGGAGGTGGCGCGTGAAACTCCAACAGTGGCATGTAGCTCTTCGGCGACAGTGCATGCAGCAGCGCAGATCCTCCGATGGTTGACAGTGAGGTTCTTGTAGGGTTGTTGATACCCATATGTGAAGAGATAATCTATTTTTTTTCAAAATTTTTTATATATTTGCAGTGTTTTTGGTGTGACTCTAATTGTCGTGTTTGAGCATTTTTGGGTGATAATTTATGGATATTCTTGAGTTAAGAATGAGTGGTAACAAGTTTTCAGTGAGTGAAATAGTCCCAATCATGTCAAAGATCGCTTAACATAAATTAAATGGAATAAATTATATAGAGCTGAATAAAACTATTAAGATTTATCTATGCAGTGTTGACAAAGATGATCACTTAACTCAGACCCTTTCACTTATGGAACAAGACAAATCTGGCTAAGAGATGATGCACGGTTGTTTCTCTATATTAAAAATTCAATTGATCGTAAGGTAATTGGCTTAATTAATCGTTGTGAGTTTGTTAAAGAACTGACAGACTATTTAAATTTTTTGTATTTAGGCAAAGGAAATGTGTCCCGCATGTATGATGTTTATAAGATTTTCTATCATGCTAATAAGGAGGCCAAATCTCTCACAGCCTACTTCATGAAATTTAAAAAAATATAAGAGGAGCTTAATGTACTTTTGTCGTTCAGTACTAACATCAAGGTACAACAAACACAGAGAGAGCATATGACCATAATGAGTTTTTTGACTGGTCTTCCATCTGAATTTGATACTGCTAAATGTCAAATTCTATCTAGTTCTAAGATCGTATCTTTTCAGAAAATTTTTAGTAAAGTATTACGCACAGAGACTACTACGCCTAATCAGTCTCCTAATGTTCTTGTTACTAGCAAAGAAGAAAGAAATAACAACAGGGGAAGAAACAGAACAATGAATAATCGGTATAATAATTCAAGTAATATCATATATTATTACTCTCATGAGTAAGGACATACGAAGTGGCAATGCAAGAAATTATAGAATCGGAATTAGAGAACATAAATTGCAAATATTACTACTGCTGCTACTATTAATTTCTCTTATGAGAAAAAAATATTATGGTTTCAACCGACGAGTATGCAAGGTTCTCTCAATTTCAAGAATCTTTAAAAGAATACACACTAGCAACTACTTCTGTTGAATCAGGTAAAATATGTTTTGTCTCCTCATCAAACAAATTAATGATTGATTCTGCTGCTACAGATCACATGACAGGTAACTCTAATATCTTCTCTAACTTTCAATCACACAGAGCACCCTCTCCTATAACTATTATTAATGGGTCAACCTATAATATTTAGGGTTCTGGGACTATAAAACCAACTTCTGCGATTACCCTAACCTTTGTTTTAATTCTACCCAAACTTACTTTCAATTTGATTTCTATAAGTAAACTTACCAAAGATCTTAATTATTATATTTAATTCTTTCCTAATCATTTTTCAAGATCTTATGACGAAGTAGATTATTAGCAAAGAACATGTATTAGAATATTTCTACATTCTTGATAGTTAGGTGTCTCAATCAGTTGTTTGCTCTAATATTGTCTCTCAATTTGAAGCACATTGTCAGTTGGAGCATCCACCTCTCACTATATTGAAAATGTTGTGTCTTCAGTTTCATGATGTATCTTCATTAGATTGTGAGTCATATCAGTTTATAAAATATCATTATAACTCGTCAAGTCCAAGAATTAATAAATGAGTTGAGTCTATTTTTCAATTAGTTTATTCTAATATTTCGAGTTTATGTCCTGTTATGTCTAAAATAGAGTTTAAGTATTTTGTTACTTTTATTGATGGTTTTTCTCAAATGACTGGAATATACTTTATGAAAAATTGTTCTGAAGTGTTTGCTCATATTTATATTTTTTATGCGGAAATCAAAACTCAATTTAATGTTTTCGTGCATGTGCTAAGAAGTGATAATACTAAAGAATATATGTCTGACTCATTTCAGAATCATATGACTCAACATAGGATTCTTTATCAGTCTTCTTGTATTGATACACTATCTCAAAACAGGGTTGTTAAGAGAAAAAACAGACATTTAGTTAAAACTGCTCAAGCCCTCTTGTTTCAGACACAAGTTCCTAAACAATTCTGAACTAATATTGTATCCATTGTCTATTTTCTAATTAATCGTCTACCATCTGCAGTAATTGAATGTGATATTCCTTACTGTATTCTTTTTCCAAACAAGTCGTTGTTTCCGGTACAGCCGTGGGTATTTGGTAGTATTTGTTATATTCAAGATGTATGACCTACTATTATTAAGTTGGATCTCAAAGCCTTGAAATGTGTCTTTTTAGAATATTCTCGCTTGCAAAAAGGATATTGGTATTACTCTTCAAATCTTAATAAATATCTAATAT